GGAGTACTTTCCATTCATATCTCTGATCAGGACCTTCATGATTCAGTGCAGGGATAGTAAATGCAAAATGTGGACTATCCTCAGGATGAATTGGAATTGAAAAAAAAAATCTTTAATATCTATAGCTAAAACATACCAGGTTTTTGGCAAAGCAGACAATTGGGGAATCCCTGATTGAGCAGGTCCCATAGTCATCTCATTATTAATGGTCTTAATTCTTGCAATTATCTCCATTTACCAGATTTCTTTTGATGACAAAAATGGGAGTATTATGGGGAGATACAGAAGGTTGTATATGTCCCTCCACTAATTGTTGTTTGACCAGGTCATGGGCTGCTTGTATATTTTCTTTAGTCAGGGGCCACTGAGGACCCCATACTGGCCTTTCTGATTTCCAAGTAATTTTTATTGTCTCAATGACCCCTCCTGAAAACCCAATCCATGTCTGTCTGTTCCTTGATTTATTTGTATTGGTGCTGCTATACCTTGTTTTTGTTCTCCTAATCTTTTTCCTTTCCTAAAACCTTATCCAGCCATAATAGTGGGCACATTTGGATTGATGTTATTTGTTAATGTCAAACCTAATTGATCTAGGACATCCTGTCCCCATAAATTTATAGGAAGATATCCAATACATATGGCTGTATAGTTCCGTCACATCCTTCAGGATCCTTCCAATCTAATACCATTGTACTCCTATGGGGATTATTTGCCACTCCGAGGCCTCGAAGTGTTTGAGTGGCTGGTTGTAATGGCCAATGTTTTGGCCATTCTTGACGAGAGATGATGCTAAGGTCTACACCTGTATCCAGCAGCCCATTAAATTCATATCCTTGAACATTTAGTTTTAGCATGGGGTGAGAATTTAAATTTAAAGAAAGTATAGCCCAATCTACACCTTTGGAACCTAATCAACTGGAATCTCTTTCCTATAGTATGGCTAGAAAATTTATCATGTAGGCTGGGTATTATTAATAACTGTGCAATTCTATCTCCTGATGAAATTACTGATATACCCCTTGGAGAACTGGCTATAATTTTATCATAAGTCCTTTTAGAGTAGAAGAACTGTGTCCCAATAATAAGCCTACTGTTCCTTGGGGAAGAGGTCCTTTTACCTCTGTGGGAATGATTTGAACTCCCATCTCTGGAGTTAGTACTGCTCTGGCAGAGGCGCAGGTGTCCAAACCTGCGCTCCTTCTGGTTTGTCTGATGAGGGATTTAATGGATAATGTGTCCTGGGCACTACCCTGATGGTGTTGCTGAGTTCCTCCATTGCCCTGTATGTTTGTGGTTGTGGGCCCTGGAGCATTGGGCCTCCCTGTCCGTTTTTTGGCAATGGAGCCCAATGCTTTTCTCCATGATATTGTGGGTAAACCTCCCTTTTTTGATAACAGAGTACCCTCTATGCTGGTTTGAGAACAGCATTCATTAGCCCAATATCTCCCTCTACAGCATCGTGGGCAAATACCCGGTATTCTACCCCTTTGATACCTAGTTTTGTTAAACTCTCCTCCTATGTGACAATTCCTTTTAAAATGTCCTGTTTGTTTACAATTGTAGCATGTTTTTGACCTGGCATCTAAAGCCTGTTGTACTGCAGCTGCCAAGACTTGCCCTTGTTCATTAATGTCTCTACATGATTTAATATATGTGTTTAAATCTTCATTTTTCCATGGTCTAATGGCCTCCTTGCACCATCGATTTGCTTGCTCACAGGCTAGCTGTTTAATCAATGGCATTGCTTGTTCTGTGTCCCCAAAAACTCTGGTAGCCGTTTGAATAAGCGTATCTACAAATTCAGCGCAAGGTTCATTAGCTCCTTGTATTACCTTAGATAATTGACCTTGTAAATCTCCATGTCCTTGTAAAGTCTTCCATGCTCCAACCGCATCTGCAGCAATTTGTGAGTATATAGCAGGATCATATGCAATTTGTTGCTGCTGACCCTCATAAGGTCCTTTTCCTAAGAACATATCTAGATTTCTCTGAGGATAACCGGCTGCTGCATTTCGCCTAGCCATCTCCTTGCAAAATTCCTCATTGGCAACCTTCCATAACAGGTATTGTCCTCCATTTAGCACAGCTTTACACATACTATTCCAATCTGCTTGCGTCATGTTCAAGTTGATAATGGATTCGACCATGCTTACAGTGAAGGGTGCTTGAGGACCATAGGTTGTTACAGCCTCTTTTAGCTGCTTCACTGTTTTGAAATCTAAAACATGGTGATTTTGCTGCCCTCCTGCCACCTCAAATACAGGACATGCTAATCTTTCAGGTCGTGTCTCAGGATCCCATCTATCAACTACGGGGGTTGATGACCACTTAGCATATATTGTCTCCATAGGCGGAGCTGTTTGTTAGACACTTACGCCCTCTGGTGATAGAAAGGTGTTAGTAGCAACCTCCCATTGTAATTTCTCTCCTGATTGCCCCTCCTTCTCTAAACTTTTTTCCTCTGTCTAACTCGAGAGTCTTCCTCTTTTACTTGATTTAAAATGTCTTCTCCTAGACTAAGCAAAGAAGATTGTAATAACGTCCACATGGTAATATGCCAACTGGCAAAGTTCCTGGGCTTTCCTTTTGTATCTTAAAATCTTCACCATGATGATTCCATTGTGATATATTTAACAACCTCTCTTTAATGAACCATGGCCTACACCTTTGTATCATCTTAACATATGCCCTAACTGTTCTTGATTTTACTGAGATGCCTCCTTCCTCTAGCACTTTACTTAACACCCTTTCGGTTTGGATCTTATTAATTTTTAATTCCATATTTCCATGACGAAGATACCTCTCACTAAGATAATGTAAAACAAAACTGAGGCAAAATGAAACAAAAATGGAACAAAAATTCATTATATCAGCCTTTCTATCCTCCTGAAATGTCCATCCGCCCTTTCTCCCCATCTGTTCTTCAGATGCAAATAGTTTTTCCTCAGATGTGAGCTGTTTTTCTTCCATCCCACCCATCTCCAGGGACTGGCAACTTAAAAAAAAAGTGAAACAAAACAAAAGAAGAATCTTTAAATGGTTACCCATCCTCTCGCACTGCCCCCAGAATCAAGCAGTTTACCTTATCACTTACCCTCAGGCGTTCCCTGCGTGGGCCACCATATGCCGCAGTCTGGCTGGGCACAAAATTACTGAGCTGCCATGAGGCACTTGTAGGTTCAAACAGGAACTCCTTTATTGTCCGAACTCCTTTATTGTCCGAACTCCTGCGAACGCCACCCACTCGGCCCTTCCAGGAACACCACCAACCGGAAATCCCTCCTCTGGAACTTCCCCAACCAACGCAAACTACCCAGGAATCCCCGTGAGAACTCCACTGAGGCGGACAGCAGGGGTCTAATATACAATTGAATACACAGGTTAACATAACCATCATCATCTCAATGGCTCGCTGGTATCACCTTTCAACCACTCCCTTCTGGCAAAAATGCCATGCATCATTCCAACTGGGCTGTGGCTCTCAGCAATATTGTTAGTAAAAGTTTACAAATTTTTACTTGAATGGGCATAAGAAGGTCAAGAGTATTTTTGTATCACATGGTGAGTGTAGTATATTATGTTCTTGGTAAATACTCATAGAATGAATGCAATGCTTTGTAAGCACAAAACTGATAAATATGTGAAATAATGCATGTATTGGTTCACTTCATTTAGTCATTTCACTTTGTATATATACTTTAAAATACCATGATATACTTAGTAAATACACAAAGTTGAATTTTTCAATGAAACAAATCATCAAATAATACAAATTTTAAAAAGTAAAAAACAATTTATTATTCTTGAAGGTCATGTTGGCTTTATCCAGATAATATAGATGTAGGCTCTGTAAGGTTTTTATTCCCTTCCAAACTCGTTTTCATGGAGAATTTTTCTAGACATATGTGTGTATTTTTCTTATTAAAAGAGTCCAGAGTCTCTTTACTCTTGTTAAATAACTGTGGTATTATCATCCAAAATCTATCTGTTAATTCCAGGTCTCTGTGTCATGGTAGACAGAAAGCAGTTTTCAAATACTTCAAGAAAGCCCTAAATGCTTGTGTGTATCTTTTATATTTCCCCTGTTCTACTGAGAATGAAAGTAGCTGGTGAAGTTTTTTCTAAATGCACAATACTATATTGTGGAGGAGCAATGGCTGTATTTGGGAAAAGTTACATATTTTCTTCTCTCTATTATTATCCTTAGTAATATTCTTCTCTTGAAAACTGTGATCTCTACATAGTTTCAGTAATTTTCACAAGGTAATTTTGTCTGTACATTTTTAACTTATATATTTCTGGAATAATGATGACCTTGGATTTACTAATCTGCTACCTCACTAATTTCTTGACATGGTGATAATTTCATATCTTACTATGAAAATATATTCATTTCAGCCTAGTAAGTAAAATAATTTTTATATTGGTTTATTTCAGACATGGCTTCTCATCATACCCAAGAATTTTCACAAGACCAGGGCATAAAACATATACTTCAAAAAGTGATAAATGGAAAATATGGAAATTATGAACTTGACTATTCACAACAAAGAAAAATATGGAAAATTGTGAGTGAGAATGAACATCATAAATTATATCATCAAAAGTCAGTCCTTATTCACCACCATAGAATTCGTATTGAAGAGAAGCCCTGCAAATTTAGAGAATGTGACAAAGCTTTTAATGAAAAATCTCACCTTATTTGCCATCAGAGAATTTATACTGGAGAGAAGCCCTACCAAAGTAAAGAATGTGGCAAAGATTTCATTAAAAAAACACAGCTTATTCACCTTCAGAGAATTCATACAGGAGAGAAGCCCTACAAATGTACAGAATGTGGCAAATCTTTCATTAAAAAAAACCACAGTATTTATCACAGCAGAAATCATACTGGTGAGAAGCCCTACAAATGTACAGGATGTGACAAAGCTTTTAGTAAAAAGTCAAGACGTTTTAGCCATGAGAGAACCCATACTAGAGAGAAGCCCTATCAATGCAAAGTATGTGGCAAAGCTTTTAATCATAAAAGTAGCCTTATTTGCCACAGCAGAGTTCATACTGGAGAGAAGCCCTACAAATGTAAAGAATGTGGCAAAGTTTATACTAAAAAATCAGCCCTTAATTACCATAGAAAAATTCATACTGGAGAGAAGCCCTACAAATGTGAAGAATGTGGCAAAGTTTATACTCAAAAATCAGCCCTTCATTGCCATAGAATAATTCATACTGGAGAGAAGCCCTACCAATGCAAAGTATGTGGCAAAGCTTTTAATCATAAAGGAAACCTTATTCACCATAGCAGACTTCATACTGGAGAGAAGCCCTACAAATGTGATGAATGTGGCAAAGCTTTTAGTAAAAAATCAAGTCTTATTAGCCACCAGAGAACCCATACTAGAGAGAAGCCCTACCAATGCAAAATATGTGGCAAAGCTTTTAATCAAAAAAGTAGCCTTGTTCGCCACAGCAGACTTCATACTGGAGAGAAGCCCTACAAATGTAAAGAATGTGACAAAGCTTTTAATGACAAATCAAACCTTACTTACCACAGAAGAATTCATACTGGTGAGAATCCCTACAAATGTAAAGAATGTGGCAAAGCTTTTATTAAAAAAGCGTATCTTATTCCCCACCAGAGGATTCATACTGGAGAGAAGCCCTACAAATGTACAGAATGTGACAAAGCTTTTAATGAAAAATCAAGCCTTGTTTGCCACAGCAGACTTCATACTGGAGAGCAGCTCTACAAATGTACACAATGTGACAAAGGTTTTAGCAAAAAATCAGGCCTTGTTCGCCATCAGAGAATCCATACTGGAGAGAAACCCTACCAATGCAAAGTATGTGGCAAAGCTTTTAATCGAAAAACTAGCCTTATTTACCACAGCAGACTTCATACTGGAGAGAAGCCCTATGAATGTGAAGAATGTGGCAAAGGTTATATTCAAAAATCAGCCCTTAATTGCCACAGAAATATTCATACTGGAGAGAAGCCTTACAAATGTGAAGGATGTGACAAAGTTTATAGTCAAAAATCAAGCCTTATTAAGCACAGCAGAGTTCATACTGGAGAGAAGACTTAGAAATGCAAAGAATGTGGCTAAGCTTTTAATCATCCATCAAACCTTACTAGACATCAGAGAATTTATATTGGAGACAACTTCTACAAATTATTATAGCAGAGAAAAATTATTCAAATGAAAAACTGTTACACTGTGAAAATGTCTCCCACAATTGGTCACCCCTTATTCAACACCTAGAAAACATACTAGTAGAAGAGGTCAAGTGGAAAAATTTGTTTCAAAACTCATAGACATTGCTCAAACATTATTGAACTTTGGAGAATTCATAATCCTCAGCAACCTTACAAAGTTAAATAATGTTTCCAATCCCTTATTTAAATTTCAAATTTATGAAACATCTGAAACCTTATTCCTGTAGTGAAGGTTAAACAGCATTTTCCAAAATATGTGTCATATTTAATAGTGAAATATTTACAATAAAAACCTTGACAAATATAAAGGAAGTATACTAAAGTCCTTATCCATACCTCATAACTTGATGTACTTGAGGGTCAGTAAAAGAGAAAATAATTTAAATATAGAAAATGAACAACTGGCTTTAATTTTTTAATAAAATTTATTAAATATTATTAGGAGATATGAAGAGATAACAAAATCATTGTAGATATTATACATCCAGAGTGCAGATAGCTCATCTTTGAAAGGATATGCATTTCTTATAAATCAAAGATTACTGAATATTTGCACTTTTGAATGTAGGAGAAAATTATAAGAAATATATTTTTAAAATTTTTAATTTTTTAAACTTCATTTCTTGTACTGTGGGTTAAGTTTAAGGATGCTTAACCACTGAGCCACATTCTCAGTCACAAACACACACACACACACCCCTACCTTCCCCAACTCTTTTAAATTTTGAGGCAAGGTCTGCTAAGTTGCCTAAACCTCACTAAGTTGCTAAGGCTGACTTTGAACTTGTGAAAGTTTTTCCTCAGCTTGCCAATTTGCATGGATTACAGGCATGGGCCACCTTGCCCAGTTTACAGTGCCTTTTTACCTATATTCATATTATGCATGCAACATATTAATAAATATAAGTGAATGTTAATATGTTAACACTGTCATGTATTGAATCATGTCATTATCTCAAAGGTATCACAGTTTTCCACTTGACTAAGGGATTTATGTAACAGTAAGACATACTATTGGGTAAATAGTACTGTAACATCTCTTAATTATTGTACACATTAAACTTATTTGGGAAATATAATTTGCATAAATCAAATTGTTATAATTTTTCTCTTTGTATTTGTGGAGATATTAAGACAGTTATGAGAATGATATAGACTCTAGAGAAGACAGACCAAGGCAGACTCAAAGAAAACTATCCAAGCACTCCATTTAGACTTCTCTGTGTACTGAGCAAAAGTCTGCAGGCTTCCAGGTACACCAAATCTTCCTCTACCTCCCCCTTTCACTGTGTGCTCTTAGCCTCAGATGAGATTTCTGCATTCAAAGCCAGCCTTTCAGAAAATAAGGGCCACATAAAATAAATCTGATACTTGGGAATCCTGAAGTCATCAGTGGAGAATTTCTAGGGCCTAAATTTGAACTTAATATTGAGTTGCTTTTGAAGACTATGCTTTAAGGTAGTGTCCTAATTCTACTAACTTGGCTTAAGTTAAAGATTATTTTTATTTTTGTTTTTAATTCCAATGTTATTTTGCACATGAATTAAGAGTATATGGCAGGTAGAATAATGTCATTCCCAGGAGATCCTTTTCCCATGATAATAAACATGCCTCATTATCTTGCAAGTGACTTTGCAGATGGTATTACATTAAAGATTCTGAGAAGGGGAGACCATCTGGATGGCACGGGATCATCTACACAATCCAAGTAATCCCATGGATCTTTAAAATGAAAGAAGAGACAAAGAAGTCTGGTGATGGATCAGGCACTTTGCCAGCTGTTGCTGGTTTTGAAGGTGGAGGAAGCAGCCTCCAGCCAAGAAGTGAGGGGTTTCTAGAGCCAGAAAAAGCAAGGAAGCAGGATGTGCCTGAGGTCCTCCATTGGGTGATACAATGATTGTATCCCCCAGTGATTTTAGACCAATGGGACCCCTGGGGGACTCCTAACTACAATTCTAACATAATTGGATGTGTTTGTGGAAAGTTGTTACCACAGCAATGGAAAATCATCACTAGTGCTACTCCCTCTCACTTCAGCATGAGGAGATCTGGGATATGATGAACTTTGTAAATCCTGAAGGTCTTAGGGTGCTGATTTCAACATTATGTGGACATCAACACTTAAAAAATGCTTTATTGATGGTGGCAATGCTGCACAGGCTTCTCTGTGATTCTGATGGAGAATATCTAGTTGGCCTCCTCTACAACAGAGTAGAACTTAGAATGAATCAGGAGACAGGGAAGCAAGGTCCTGGCTAGAATAAGTGAAGATGCAGGCCACTCAAATAAATAATGGAGAAGGAAGTAGAATTAAGAACAAAGGGCACAAAGAAAAGGTGAACCTAAGAGCTGCAGGTGTGACTACCTCTGAGCTCTGAGCTTCAAGGCCCAGGAAGTTGCATGTGGGCCTCAAGAGAGACAGGATCTTTTGGACCAGCTGTTTGCTCTCCCCAATCTGCTCTCTGAGAGCAGTATAGTCATTGATGTGGTCTATGGTATGGCAGCCATGCTTGTTGGTGAAGAAGCCACGTGTAGTATCACCCTCCAGCTTGGCAGAGCTCTTCATTCCTGGAGGATCATCTGAATCCAGCTCTGAAAAAGAAAACCACAATAATATAGGATCTGCTGTTATTTATGATAATATCCTCAGTTCCCACCAATGCAAAGAGACAATGAAAGAGCCCAGGATCAAGAAAGGCAGCCTTCAAAAATTCTGAGTGGGTCAAGTCCATAGAGACCTTTTGGTTTCTTTATTTTTATAAACTTTCTTACATCATTGCATAATGACAAACTTGCCAGAAGACAAATTTTGTCTTCATTGACAAGTGGGCTATTCAGGAAGAATAGCATAAACATGAAAAGTTTTCTGGATAGAAAAGGCACAGACAAGCAAATCAGCTGGACACAGAGAGCACATTTAAGAATGTCTACAGGAAAAAAAAGAATGTGTACAGGGCAATGATGCAAAAAGAGCAATAGGACAACTGTGACAAGAATAAAAATGAGAAGAAAGGCAGCCACAGAAGAGTCAATGAACAAGACTGAAGGCTTTGTTGCACACAGAAAATTTTCTAAATTCACATAACACTTATAGAGGACTGACAAGTTATTTGCATTAATAATTTTCCTTCATTGGGTCCAAGCCTCTTAGATGTCATAGTGACATCTACATTTGTCCTAGTGACAATGACAGTATCTGAGCCAGGAGAAAAGAAAGCAGAGCTGTGAAGGACCAGAGGCAGAAAATTCTTACCAACATCCCAAACTGCAGAGGAAGTAACTGAATCTAGGGAGGAAAGACACCCAGTGTTCAGGACACCTCAAACACCCTGCACCCCAAATCACACACAGTCTAGCCTTCACCACACAAGATCTAAGGCACCAGAACTTCCCAGTCATGTCATCAGCATACATATGCCCCATGGAAAAGCAAAAGCCAACAGATTGATATGTTTATGTTATTTAGAATGAAAAATGTTTGATGGACAGGTATTCCAAATGAATGTAACTTCTAGTTTAAAAACCTGTTAGGTTCAATTTTAAAAACCAACTTTTTTTTCTATGTGCTGTCTAGTACAATGCTGTAGTGAAACCTAAATATGCACAAAATCACATGCATATATAAAATACACACACACACACATATATATATATACATACATACATACATATATAAAATATACATATATATATATATATATATATATATATATATATATATATATGTTAAAATATTGATCAAGGGCTGGGGTGCAGTTCAGTGGCAGAATGCTTGCTTAGCATGCAGGAAGGCTTGGGTTCAATTCAATTTTGTAAAACAAAAGTTTACAAAATGTAAATCATCCTAAAAAAGGAGTTCCTGGTAAGAGGAAAGTGGGTCACAGCCAGGTTCCAGTTCAGGCCTCTGGGGGCTGGGAACAAGAGAAAGAGCAGAGACTGAGCCATGGGGCTGCATCTTAGCTGGTGCATGGGAAAACAGTGACAGGGAAGCCTTTTTAGAGGGAAGTGAAGATGTGACTCAACACCACACCCACCATGGCAGCTTCAAAAGGGGAAGGCAACAATCTAATGTATGCTTAGCAGTTCCTGCCAGATGGGTACTGTGCTTGGCAATTCACAGATGCTTCTTACTTAAAGGCCACGATAAAAAGTCCCTGAAATTGTCCAATTTCATTTGAAAATTGAAGTCATTATCTGAAAAAAAAAATGAGTATTTAGCACAACTAGAGAAAATAAGGATTAACATGACCCAAGAATTTATGGCATGAGAATTTGAAATTCTGAGCCTTGAAGGCTCAGACTTAGAGAAGAAACATGAGCAGACGTGATAAAGGATATGGCCATACAGGCGAATGGAGAGGGTAACTGGATTGGTGCAACAAAAAGCAAAACAGAAGAAGACATAGAAGTGGAATGATGTGTAAAGAGGTTGGGGAGTGGGCCTCTGTTAACATTCAAATCAAAACTAGGGAAGCAAGATAGAGACTGGATACTGAAGAGAGCCAGAGAAGTCTGGTAAACATGCTTATCTGAAGAGGCAGGCAAGAGACTGGGGCAGAAGTGGATGTCTACCATGTGGAATGAATGTGCCTGCCACCTAGCACTGTCCCACAGCCCTGATTTCCTTTTGTCACACACTGAGGTCCCCCTAGGTGAAGGAAAGGGAAGCCACTCTAGAGAGTGTGGCAAGGTCTGTGATACTGAGACAGAGCCTAGTGAGGTAGAAGGAAGACTACCTAAAAAGAAAGCACCTGATTTGGTCTTTAGGCCCTATAAACCCCAGCTTGTCTATTCATGTCTCAATGAATTGGAGCATGTGAAATATAAAAATATCATAAAACCTGTCCTATATAAATAAAATTGGGGGGAAAACTGGCTCCAGGACAGTATGTGTCTCCCACCTACAGCCAAACTTCCATAGAATTTTTTTTTTKSCYTTTTTTTTTTTTGATTTTACAATGATTTTCTTACATATATTTCTTTTTTAAAATTAGAACTCTATAGTCATACATTGCCGGGGGCCAGCCTCAGCATGGTGTCTCGGAGGACTACCTTGATTGGGTAACAAGGAGTTGGCAAGGAACAGTGGAAAAATATAGACACAAAAGTGAAGGTGCTGAATCTGAATCTTATGCCTTGAATCATATACTATTCTTTTTGGAATGATTACAATACTTTGTGGTTACAAGGCAGGAAGCACAGAAATTGTTATTCAAGGAAGTACAGTTTCATTTTTGAGTAAGCCTAATCAGACAAAAATAATCATTAATCCTAAGCAGCAGTAAGCACTTTTAACTTTCA